AATCAAGTATTTCAAGAATCTTACCAAGTAAAATTTCCTTCCTCCATTGGCAGAAATTTTTGACTTAATTTGAGTCAAATTTTCAGTAAAATCTACATCTCTGGTTTTAGGCCTTCCATCTTGTCTCTTCTCACACGTTTTTTAATTGAAACTAAAACAGCCTGTTCTCTGGAACCATTCAGCTCTTCAGTTAAACTTCTGACAGACCACATGAATCTCTTTCTTCTCTGGTTTGGGAACGACTCCAGATCAAGTCCAACCTGGGCCGTCTGATCCTGAAGGAGGAGAAGGAGAAAGGCGTCCAGTTCAGGAGGAAGACACAGTCGCTGCCTGACAGAACACACATGCACGGCAGTGAGTCCACCGTGTCTCTGCAGACGCCTCGGCTTCAGACAGAGTTCCTCACGTCTCGCTGTCTCTTTTGTTTTCTGGCAGGTTTGTCAGCGAGTGCATCCAAGTCTCCCTCACGCTCCGGCCTGACCAGAGTAAGTCACTTTGTGTACACAGACTGCAGAAAATAAACCTCGTTAATTTGTCTCTAGCTCGTTTTTCCATCTGATGTCAGTATTTGTCTCTCTGTGCACATAGAATGTCCTAAAATTCTTTATTTAATCAGATTCTGCTCCTGAATTCAGCTTCCTACAGTCCTCTTTTTAAGACCCGCCTCCATAAAATCCTTTTCTCTGATTGGCTGGACTCTAAAGCCTGCGTACAGGATGTGACTTCAGTAAACAGAAAAAAAGAACAGTTTGACTCACATTAATCAGGTTAAAATGTGTCTGTTTCACTTTTAAAAGCATTTTAAAAACATCCATAAAATATATAAAATATAAAAACAAAAGCAGCAACAAGTTTTGATTCAGTTTGAATCAATAATTGTGACCAGTTTATATGGGACAGCATAAATACTGTATGAAAAGCTGTTTTGATAAACATTAATTTTTTCAGATTGTTTTTTTTTCATTTAATGGATAAAAATTGTGTATTTTAATCGAACAAATAGAAGAAAAATATAAATACCTACATCAGAATTCTGTGTCAGCATACAGTAGTTGTGTTTATGTTTTTCTTTAAAAAGTGTCTTTAGGAAAAAACTTGTTTATTTTGAGAAAATTTCTATTTTTTTTTGCATTATATATTTTTGTTGTTGTTTACAATTCTTTGTTTAAGGAGTGTGGATAAAAATTCATATTTCAAAATAAAAGAATTTTGCCATAAATTAATGTTATCCTTCAAAGAAAATAGGAAACATAAAAAAAAACATTATCACCAGGATCTGATAATTTTGTTTATATATATGTTTCTCATATTTCATTTTGTAGTCATATTTATTAAAACAGTTATAATTATTGATTTCAGTAGTAAAATAGTTTGATACATATTGCACTGTACGTGGAAGATTTCTTCTATTTAAACGTTTTTTGAGAACAGTTCAGCTGAAACAAAGTGTGAAACTTAATGATTTTGGTAGAATAAATAATTCAAAGACAAATCTGATACAGTTTCATATCTTCTGATTGTGTTTGTTTATTTGTTTGTTTGTTTGTTTGTTTGTTTGTTTGTTTGTTTGTTTGTTTGTTTGTTTGTTTCAGATGCAGTCTGCAGATTTTTCCACAGATGAAGATAAAGGTCGACCAGGTAGGACTCCTTCTTTTTTTGTCCTCATAGTTTGCTCATTGTTACAGAATTCCAGCTGACATAAAGGAACCTGAGACGCAACATATTGATTCTTCTCTCAGACTGATTTAAAAAAATAAAACATTTTGCATGACTTAGCAGTTTTTGTGCAAAAATTTGTTTTAAGCTTTTTTTTTAAATACACAAACAAAGTATTTCGTTTTTTTTTTTTTAAATCCCAGCTTGGTGCAGCTTAGAGTCAGGTGTTTACTAAGTGAAATAAACACCTTGACATTTCTAGAGATAAAAAAATGTGCACCTAAATAAACCCAGAGATCTTAATGTTATTCACATCTGTATTAATGACTGTCTCCTCTGTTTGTGTTGTCCCTGTGTGTATGCAGCTGCTCAGGTAAGTGTTGTTGGTGTGTGTATGTGTGTGTGTGTGTGCGCGTGCATGTGCACGACTAGTTCAGCTTGCTGCAGCGCTGCATTGACTCTTCCTGGACAGACCATTTTACAGCATGTTATTGATTCTGTTCACATCCCTTTTTGAACTCTTATTGGGGCTGAAATGCAGAAACACTGTAAGAAAAAAAAAATCAGTGAAAATATCAAGGATTAATCCAGGCAGATGTTTTTCCCCTATCCTCCTGTTCTGTAAACACTGGTGAAGGACATCATTTTAAGAAATTGTTTTATTTAACACAGAGGTGCCCAAAGTGGGGCCCATGGGCCAAAATTGGCCCATCAAGCAATTTGATTTGGCCCTGGTTATAAGGCTGTAATCTCCTGTTGTCCTCTGTAGAAACACTGTATTTCCACTAAATAAGGGGCTGTAATGCAAATAGCTTTCACTCATGGTGCGTACTTTTATCTTTGAATTATACTAGTATTAAACATGAAATATAAATAACTACAAAAGAAATTTAAATTAGATTTAAGCACATGTGTAGATTTCTGTTCTTAATAAGAACACAAATACTCAAATTATCAATTTAGGAAATGTCCCATGAGCCTTTTACTGCCTAAGCGTACGTCAAACTTTCTTTAAAGTGTTTCTTACTCCCCCTGTGAAAAGATAACTCCGCCCCAAGGCGAAATTTGAAAAATGCATCAAAGTGGGTAAGGGGGGGGGCGGGGTAGAGAGCGGAGGTGTGGCCAGGACGAGAGAACGCGACAGCTAGCATTAGCATAATTGATGCTACATGGAGAGTGACCACAGCGATGCAGATAGTTACATCGCCGAACGTCTGAGGTGGAGATTTTTCACCCCGCTCCTCACCAGAGGCAGAGAGAGACTTGATCAAGTCAGCTCAGTCTGGGACTGACTCRTGTTGGCTCCCTGGATCAGGACCTGGAGCTCCAGCTCCAGCAGCCTCGGCTGAGCTGTCCGCCTCACACCACACCAGCTTCGGACAGAGGAGGTGGAGCGCTCCGCGACAGCCTGACATAAAAAATAAAAGCATACAGCTGCAGCTGCTCACAAGATCACTAGTTTAAATCAGGAATAAAAGTGTTGGGTCTTGTTTTTGACTGAAGTTCAGTCCATTAGGGCTGCAGCTGCCCGCTGTGTTTCTGCCTTTTTTTCCCCTCCTCCCCTCCCGCTGTGCAGGACGTGCTGCTGGTGTGTGTGTGTGTGTGTG